GCCCTATACAAAATCTTTCAAACTGATAACACAAAAGAACATCCTGGTAAGTATATAACTGGAACTCAGAGACATTGTACGGTTATATGCCAAACACAGGATATTTCTGTCTAAATTTAAATTTAGATACAGACATTTTGAGTTCTGTGTTCTGTTGAGAGAATATAAGTGATAGCACTCGGAGAAATCATCGACAAGAGTGAAGGAACTCGATGAAAAAATATTTATGTGGAGACCAGTCCGWACGTGTCGTATGGCGCAGGGAAATGAATGTAAGTGATAGAACTCGGCGAAATCACCGACAAKAGTGAAGGAACTCGATGAAAAAATATTTGTGTGGAGACCTAYCKGAACGTGTTCTTTGGCGTAGGTGAATGAATGTGAGTGATAGCACTCGGCGAAATCAACGTCAAGAAGTGTGGCCGCAAGCCGATTTTCACYTTGCGCTGCGGCGCGCCGTATTTTCGCTCGTATCTCGGGAACGGTTCGTCCTACGGCCATGATCACATATACCATTTCGGTAGCAAATGACGTGACAAATATTTCGCGTATTTCAGGCGCTAGGTAGACAATTTCACGATTTTAGGCGAATTTCCGGAATTTCAAGCCCGGAGTTGGGGTTGATGATGCAATCCGATCTCAAAACAAAAAGTTGCATTGGAATCAGGAAGTACTAAGGCAAATTTTTCGCTCTATTAGAAATCCCGAATCGAAAAAGTCCGCAATCGACCAACCATATTGGATAATTTCTGTTCCAACAGGTCTAAGTAATCGGAACGGACACGGATTATTATCAGGAATTTTTTCAAAAAAACGGCCGTATGTCAAGAAAAAGAAAGCGCCATTTCACCAAGCCAAGGCACCGTGCCACAATTCAGTAAAAAAGGATGTCCAAAATCCATGAATTGGGTTTCGAATTGCTTTCCCATCCACTGTATTCACAAATATGGCCCAAGCTATTACTTTCTCTTTCTGTTGGGGGCGCTTAACCCTTGAAGTAAATGATACATATGTATGTACATATATAGATGAAATAAGGTAATAAGATGATAATAAAGTTGGACGCTTTATATTATTGATTATATGCTCCGCTTCTTTATAAGGAAAGATTACAATTATCCTTTATAAAATGAGTTTCGCAAATATATTCTACACATACTTATACATACATACAGGTAAATTTTTCTGTATTTTGTGATATTTTTATGCTATCATTACGGTTAAATCTAACAATGATAAATATTCATTCAGCCTTTATGGCGCACTAAAAGGTCATGTCGGCATTCTGATTCACGCACCAAAATAAATGTACGTTCTTTATGAACTGTTTTTGCAGGTACAAAAGTATAAATATATATTCATGTATGAGTGCGTGTTCGACAACAAAGTAGCATTGCTAAATATCTCACTGTCAAGTCTTTATATTTTGGTGTGCGCCAGTCATAAGGTGTAGTTATTTATGTATCATTCGCGCTTGCCCGTATCAGGCATGTCAAATATTTACATATAGGGTGTATTTTTAGAGGTATAGAATTTCCGGCAGGGATAGTTGACAAGGTGAACAGATGTAATTAGCATTTACTCGAATGTTCAGTACTATGTGTTTTGCAAATATTATGGTTTTTTCAAAAAATCGCTTTATAGGCAGCAAATTCACGACATTTCCCTCTTAAAGCCTACGTAAATAAACAAAAGGCAACAATACTGATGAGACCGACCCTTTAGGTTCCCTTGTATCTAGAAAAATTTACAATGTGGATGGTTTGCATGCAGAAAGCTCTATATTATATTATATTTTCTGAAAATTTAATATGGAGACCGACCAATATTTGACGCGTTTGTGGGTAAGTAAGACCGGAAATTGACCGGCTATAATTTCGTATGTATTAAGAGTATATATGTATATGTATGTGATTGTGCCCTAGCAATATCGAACCTACAAAATGCATTTCTTTATTACAAATTCGACTAAAATTACATAAGCAACATCATACAATTGTCTAAATTTAACAGTTTAAGAAAAGATTTACTCGTAAGTTATTATTATTATAAAATTACAATATATACATATACATACACATCTAATTATTTGCTCATTATTCGGCAAATAGGTGCCGACATTTCATTGTTGGTCAAATAATAAACTAAGTTATCGAAGCATGAAAAACACAAACAGTTTTATGGGATAAAAGAACACATGCATATATTTATAATAAATGTTTACCCTAAATATATATATTACTGTTTTTGCACTGGTTTTAAGGTAAAATACAACTAGTTCACTTACTACAAAAAGCTATATTCGCCAATGATTTTTTACCTTTCAAAATTTTCGAGCTCTGTGCGTTTTGGCAAGTCTAGGTAAGTCTTATAAGAGACATTTTTCAGTTTTTAATGTACATAACTCTCTACATTTATATATGTATAAATGCAAGTCAGTGAAATTGAACACATCAAAAAGGTTTCGTTAAAGTATACAAACATGTAAAGAACTTTTTAAACTAAAAGTTCTAATTTTTGAATGTGTCGGAAACTTTTATGGAGCGACTTCAATCGCGACTCCTATTTTAGAGACAACTTTCACTGCAGGGTAAACGTATACATTTGTTGCATTATTTAGGAGCAATTATTATCGTAACAGTTGAGTTAAGTTGAAGGTCAGCTATGAAGTTTAAGGCCAACCGTGGCTAGCCGGATGAGTCTGTTACTGTAAATATTCAAGCATTCATATGCATACATTTATATATGTATGTATATATTTATATATAACCGTATATGAAAGTATTCATTTTCTTTACAATTGCACATATGTATGTATACATACATCGCGTAATATATCCAATTTGATTTAGTCGTGAAGTTATTTTTATACACAGGCTTATACATTTTTCTAAGTGTACGAATGATCTAAGCGAAACAGTTGGAGTATGCTTTTAATTCTGGTTTTATGAGCTTCATAGGTCTAGTAATTTAAGTAAACTTGATATAAATGCAATATTCATTGAGGGTGAAACACGCGCCATTTAGCGAAACTTTGGAAAAAAAATTGTTTGGAAATATATGTACATACATACACATAAGTACTATGTATGCGGTGAATATATAAATATATAATTACGTATATATGTATACGTAAGCTTAATATCTCAACTAGAGATACAACATAATACGCTTTTTGAATTAATAACATAAAATTGAGCAAAAATTGTTGCACAGAAATCAGTTATTAATTCAATACCAATCCACGAACACATTTTTCTGTTCGATATTAGCTAGTTTCTCACCATTACGGTGTTCCTTAGAAATAATCTTTAAAATAACTTAATAATGTTGGCTTTTTAGATTTATTACGATCACAGGCACCAATTCTAATCACATCCCAAACTACATACCTTTCCTTAATACATACCATGTGTGATAGCGAAACTCTAATTCATAGAAACATTTCTTGATGCTTCTAGTCCGTACAAAATATGTTTTGCAGTTTGAAAAAAATAATGCATTTTTTATATCGTTTAATTGGAGGCTTTTAATAATAAATGGTGAAATTTCATGAACACAACGTTTCCATTATTACTTTCGTGCAAAAACAATTCCTCTAACCGAACATGAGTATGCTCCAATGACCCCACACGGACACTATTTTGTTCAAATGATATCTTATAAAAGGACAAGATTTCATAAAATGTTTTGCAAATTAAGTCTAGAATTTATAGTTCTGGATTTTTTATTTTTTATTAATTTTTGGTGTTTTGCGACAGTTGTATTTAAGAACAAATAGCAAAATGATTACAGCAAACAAATTGACATGTACTGGTGCTGTCTGGTTCGCGGTGGCTTTACGGAACTAATGCAATAATTGTCATTCATTTACTCCTGGCTGACATTGACTAGCATGTATAAATTCAATATATGTTCATAAGTATTGTTCCGAGTTGCAGTTTCTGACTCTAAGAATACATTTTAAACACTCGTTTTTATCACGCCCCCATATGTGGACAGCTCCCTTAGCCGGACAAAAACAATGCGACGATAGGTATCCGGTTATGAGAAATTTCACTATATATATGTATGTACTTAAGTATATACACATATCATTTTAAAAAGAAACTTTTATCTTTGCGTACTGTTATTAGTCAACATTTTTAAATTCTTGCAATAAAAGCGTGCTTATGGAATTATGCACTCATATGCTAACATACTTTCATATAAATACACGTATGTGTGTGTAGTGTATGACTCATTAGTATCCACGTTAAGAACTTGACTTAGTAAAGTCCCAAGAATTTGCCAAGAAGTGAAATAAATAGACATATCTACCATATACATATATAAATACAAATAAATGATATATGATATATACAAATATACAAATATATGTACATATGTATGCATATGTACACGTTTTTATTTATACCACATCATGCACATAATATATATCAATATTACAACAACAATAATATGATTTCATTAGGAAATGCTTTCCGCAATCCTTTGTAAAGAAATCAGTTTATGTATTTTTAATAAATGCAAATCGGTACATATAATGTATACACATTCTTACACGATCTTTGTGATCGATTAAGGTCATTTGACGTTGTCCTGTATGCATTGTGTTTAATACAATTTACATATGTGTCTATAACTTACGTACGTTTGAATATACATACATATGTCTCACATATAGTGTGAAGAAATGCATTGGTCTAAAAATGGAAAGACCCTCTGCAACAAATTATCACGAGAAAAAACCTCAGATTAACCATAAAAATGAGATATTAATTGTGTTAAAAAAAAAATAAAAACAAAAATTAAATAGAAAATGTTCAAAATGGAGAGACGATTTTATAGGTAGATATTAAGCCGTAACTCCTTCTGTTGGTGACTTTTACTAATAACTTGACTTGTTATATGAATTTTTACTATGTAAGTTAGTTTTGTAACTAGGATAAAGTAAATTATTTATAAATCGACACGGTTTAAAAATAGTTGACATTCTCAATTTTACTATCGAATTTCATTTTGTAGTGTCTCTTATGAACATGGATATCGGGACAAAGTTTAAGACGAGGTAGGTTTGTGTGTACGATGGAAAATTTTGCTCCATAAATTGTATATAGTAAACATAAAGCCGCTAACTTAAGCTAGGAATATCTAACGAAGCCAAGAGAATATGTATGTCGTATATGCTAGTTACAAATATGTATAAGTTAATTCTCATACTTTATGGCGACATATTGGAATACTTAATGAACTTTTGAAGCCCGTGTTTTACGAGAGTGTTTAAAGGTTGGGTTGACTCACTTTTTATTTACTTTTTTATGCGTAAATATGACAGGTGTGTACATACATATGTAAGTACAAACTTAATATATACAGTTTTATTATATATATGTATGTATTACGAAAACATTACTGTTTATTTTTATTATCCTATTAGATATATTTGGTGGAAATACAACCACAATAATCGTAATGGACAACTTAGAGATAAGATTATGAATACAGGGCCAGGGAATTTGTTATCTATGGTTTTCTTTTCGAGCAATTTCAAGGGCGACTGCTTATACAGTTTACATTACAAAATATATTAATGAATCTGTAAAAATGTGGACGAATTTCAAAATATTAATTCGCCTATCCTAAGTTCTTGTGGGGGACACAGTCTTTGGGTCATGCAATTTTACACATTGTATGTATGTATAATTGTTTAACTTCTGTTTATCGCGATATAACATACATACATTATATTCTCATAGGATGTTGCATGTTTCGCTAATGGTGCCCTAGCTCGATTCATCCGCGACCAAAACTAAATCCAATATAAAACTTTAAGGAAAAATATGTTCAAATATTGTATTTGAAGAAATTATTGTTGAAAGAATGCTTAGCGAGTTTATATAGTATATTCGTAGATAAGTAAGTACAAATGTGTAGGTAATGATATAAGATTACGCGCAACAGGTCTGTATGTTTGTATATACGTATATGTCCATGTTGACAGTATGAGTTACATGAAGATAAAGATAAGTACGATAATATTCCTTACACAATGGCAATTTCTGGTAACTGGATTTGAAGTGGCTGCTTTTTCTGCCATGCAACTGAATTTAATGCGATACCTATATTGAATTCACTTTGCACAAAAATAGACGTGATTCGATGAATATTCGTGTGTAATGCACCGGTTTAAACTGATTGATCGAAATGTGGTATGTAATAAAGCTGCACTAATTTTAGGTTCAATTATTTAAGGCAATTTTACAGTGGTATATGATCACGAAAGAATCACATCTAAAGTCACAATTTTGTCGTTTAAGTTATGAAATGTAACACAAATTTCATTAAAAATCGAAAAATTGCCCGCGCCTTAAAACACAACCGTCCAACGTTGCGAGCAAATTTGAACTGGCATTACGACGTATACAATGCGACAGCAGAAGTCACCCACTGATCGGTGGACAGCTGTTAAAAAGCTACTTCGTATTTGATATGAGTGGAGAATACAAAGGTGGAGCTTTCGGTTGTTGTTTCGTGATGATGACTTTGTGTTGTCAATGATCGTGTGGGTATCTGCTTGAGCTCTACTCTCTGGATTTTATTGTGTTTGATAAATTTCACTCCCGCTACTGAGAGTGAAATGTATACGTATATATAGTACGTAGACTTTATTATAATTATTGTCTGATCTTCAGTGTTTTGCCCTCCTATTCATAAAGTATTGTTGTGTAGTGACTGAAAGCGGCGGTTAAATTTTGCGAAAATCAAGCAAGTGTTGTTTAACTCGTTCTGCAGACACTACGTTTGTGTAAAAAAATGAGTCGCTTTGTTTTTGGGGGGACCTACCCCTTGCTCATAGTTCGTTGATGATTAATATTTGACTTCTGAGAATCAATTGAGTTCGTCATACTTGCCAGACTCACTTGCTGTGGGTAAAGCCGGTACGCACCGTTGTTATAATACCCCCACACCCTCTTAAGTGGATAAATACATAGGTATGCACTTGAACACAATTAGGATCATAGAAACATATGTATGTTTGAAATATTGTAAAATATGCATAAACATATTTACAGGAATAAAAACGTCGTTATGCAAGAAAATTGTAATTTTATGATTATATTGGAGTAATAAATCATTATATCCAACTAAAGGTTATATGGAAAACAGAAAAAAATATAATACCATTTACAGGTGCATTTCTTTTACCAAGTTGTTTGTTTGATATAAAAAATATTCAAGCCGAATTAAGGTTACTCTGCATGGCATTTTGTTCGGATATTTCAGCGATGCTTTTAGTAATCTATGCAAAATTTCGTTTTCCATACAAGAACTTGATGTTGATATACATACATATGTATATACATGAATATTATTTTTCTAATTGAAGCACATATAGTAGATGTATGTAAAGATCTCCAATGTGTTTGGTATAAAGTCAATCGAAATTCCTACTAAAAAATAGGGCGGAATCCGACATACACACACACATATATATATATATGCACACGTACGCACACATACACACATATGTATATGTATATATATGTATATATATATATATATATACATATACATATGTACATATATCATTATGTTTAGAAAAACTTTACCACTTAGTAAAATAGTAAGATTAGGGCTAGGGGGAGTCTGGGCTGATTGTAATAACTATTGACAATTGTAATGATTGTATACACGAATTTGTAGGAAGATGATTCACATATTGACCGATATATTTCGAAAATCGTTATATGTACATATGTATATTATAGGATATGGGGTAATTCGTGGACGGATTTTTGGCATTAAAGTTCATTTATTTAAATAATAATATTATTTATTGATGTGAGTATAAGGTGTAAAGTCCAACGGAAGATCAAAATTCTTACCTTAGTTATAAGGAGAAAACGAAATTATTGGCCCGAAACGAAATCCATTTGTGACATCAAGACATATCATTATCAGGAAAAGATGTTGTATGAGTTTCTTTAAGAAGTTTTTTTGTACCACAAAAAGCTCCGGAGAATATTGGAGAGAACCCCAAGTTACCCTGTGCATACACACCTACATTCATACGCTAAGAATGTGCTCTAAGTGCGTTCATACATTTCGTTTGCTCATTTTATCGAATGATCGATTTTATAATTTTAAATTGTGGTTTCATATATTGAAGACCAAAGCGTTGATACATTTATGTACATTCGAAAACCTATGTGCCAATTTTACAAAACAGAAACTTGGAAAATAAGCATACGATGCAAATATTTTATTAGTTTGAATTTCGAACGTGCTTCGCAAGATAAATAACAACCGAATTATATTGACTTTTTAAAAGGCTTATTGTACTTTACTTCTAAAAGTTAATTTTTCATAGATTATCTGTATTCGTATAGTAGTACGCGCGGCAAAACGAAAATTGCCTTTTATATTTCGGTATTAGAAAGCAAAAACGAATTTTAATATTCTTCATTAAGATTTAGACATGTTTGTATTGCGTTTGAGTCAATTGTAGAAGAATTATTGCCTGATTGAGGTATCTCAAAAGCATTAGTTTTGACCACCTCTCCAGTTGTCAAACAACGTTGACAACTTAGTTTATTTTTTTCTATAAGGCGGATGACTCATCAAATCGATGTTTTGAGTACTCAAAAATGCAGTTGATTTGGGAGAGGCTACATTGGTGTAGTGAATAGTGATCCGTCTTCAGTGGTTATTTTTCTAATTTCTTAAAAGACAACTGGCAAAAAAATGGTTGTGTACGACTCAGAATTTCTGTTCTGCCTTGTTTTAGTGGTATGGTTGCGGAATGTATAGTTTTCAAAATAAAAGAAAGCCAACCATTAGCTTGGAATTGTTTCGTGCGTGTAAAACTTTTGTTGGGATTCATCTTGAAAAACCCATACAGTCCAGTACATTGCTGTTTAGTTTTGGGTTCATACACGTTAATCCAGTTTTCATCACCCGTCGAGAAGTCAAATGTTCATCCAATATTGAATGTTTGCTGGACCTACTGAAACCTATGGTTATCTTAATAGCCCGGTAGTTCTCATGACGGTATTAACAGTTTCCTCGACATCAACTGATTTTCGACAACCTTCATGGAATTCCTTTTTGAATAACGTACGACCTTGATTGAATTCACCATACCAGCGAAAATACTGGCCCTTGATGAAGCTTTATCGAAAAAATATAATTATGTTCATCGCTCACTGTTGCTGAGTTAATTCAGGTCGAAAGTTGTGAAGAAAAATGTCGCGAAAATATCCGCGTTTTTGCTCCACCTTTCAGCCGAGATGAATATTTTAAGTTTCTGTAAAAATACAAATAGCGGTCGTATGTAAAAATGTTCTGAGTATGTACAGCTTCAAATATGTCAAGCTTTACGATATAGTTGTGAGTTGCCAGACTGCAACAGCGCGCCAGTCAATTCTTCTTTTCGCTACGTTGCGCCAATTGGATACTCCAAGGGTAGTCAGGTCCTTCCTCACCTCGCGCTTCCAACGGAGTGGATGTCTTCCTCTTCCTCTGCTTCCCCCGGCGGGTACAGTGTCGAATACTTTCAGACCTGGAGTGTTGCCGTCCATTCGGACAACATGACCTAGCCAGCGTAGCCGCTATCTTTTAATTCGCTGAACTATGTCATTGCCGTCATATATCTCGTACAACTCATCGTTCCATCGAATGCGATATTCGCCGTGGCCAATGCGCAAAGGACCATAAATCTTTCGCAGAACTTTTCTCTCGAAAATTCGCAACGTCAACTCATCAGTTGTTGTCACCGTCCAAGCCTCTGCACCATATAGCAGGACGGGTATTATGAGTGACTTATAGAGTTTGGTTTTTGTTTGTCGAGAGAGAACTTTGCTTCTCAAATGCCTACTCAGTCCGAAGTAGCACCTGTTGGCAAGAGTTATCCTACGTTGGATTTCCTGGCTGACATTGTTCTTCATGATCTACGACTTCAAAGTTATGACTGTCAACAATGACGTGAGAGCCTGGTTCCGAGTGTGACGACTGTTTGTTTGATGACAGGAGATATTTCGTCTTGCCCTCGTTCACTGCCAGACCCATTTGTGTTGCTTCCTTGTCCAGTCTAGAGAAAGCAGAACTAACGGCGCGGGTGTTGAGGGCGATGATATCAATATCATCGGCATACGTCAGCAGCTGTACACTCTTATAGAAGATTGCAGCAGGATGAAGAAATCGCACGATAGGGAGTCGCCTTGTCTGAAACTTCGTTTGGTATCGAACGGCTCGGAGACGTCCTTCCCGATTCTGACGGAGCTTTTGGTGTTGCTAAACGTTAGTTTACATAGCCGTATTAGTTTTGCCGGGTTACCAAATTTAGACATCGCGGCATAAAGGCTCTTTTTCGTGATGTCGAAAGAAGCTTTGAAATCGACGAAGAGGTGGTGAGTGTCGATTCTCCTTTCGCGGGTCTTTTCCAAGATTTGGCGCCTGGTGAATATCTGGTCGGTTGTTGATTTGCCAGATCTGAAGCCACACACACAGGCTTTAATCTTTCAAACAATACGCTCGATAGAACCTTATATGCAATGTTGAGGAGGCTWATCCCATGGTAGTTGGCGCAGATTGTGGGGTCTCCTTTTTTGTGGATTGGGCATAGCACACTTATATTCCGATCGTTGGGCATGCTTTCGTCCGACCATATTTTACAAAGAAGCTGATGCATGCTCCTTATCAGTTTTTTGCCGCCGTGTTTGAATAGCTCGACCGGCAATCCATCGGCCCCCGCCGCTTTGTTGTTCTTCGGGCGCGTAATTGCTATTTGAACTTCTTCCTGGTTCTGCTCCATCGTCATCGATTTTAGAATCGGGTTCGCCTTCTCATGGTATTGTGCATTCACAGCCATTCAGCAGGCTGGAGAAATGTTCCCTCCATAATTTAAGTATGCTCTGGGCATCGGTGACTAGATCACATTTGAGGGTTCTACAAGAGTATGCCCCGGTCTTGAAACCTTCTGTAAGCCGCCGCATTTTTTCGTAGAATTTTCAAGCATTCCGCTGTTGGCCAGATTATCAAGTTCTTCGTACTCACGCATTTCGGCCTCTTCCTTTTTCAGTCTGAAAAGGCGTCTCAGTTCCCTCTTCAACTCTCGGTATCTACCCCATCCCGCACGTGATGTGATCGATCGTAACGTTGCGAGGTAGGCAACCAGACTGTTTTCTCTCCGCTGCGGCACCGTTTCTGAAAATAGCATTTTGAGAAAAACACTTTGAAAGGTTGGAGTCGCTACGTTTCTCACTGTGTTCCCTTTCTACAAGAAACCCTGTAGCGAAAGTAATAATTAGAATTTCGATTTAAAAATTTGAGAGAATGATTATTGTAGTGTATACTATACACACAAAAATTGATTTGTCGAAAATTTTACTATTTGTGTGATATCCTCATTGTTGCATAGTAGAAAGTGAAAGATTCAGGTGGAA